ACAAGCAGATATAGAAGCCTGCGTAGACGCATGTGCTATATACTTCTAAAAACTCTTCGTCTCTTGAGATTTTGCAGATTTTAGCTACCTGAGCTTTGCATACGAGGCCACTGATCTAGAGTTGGAAGGATCATATGACTACGTTATAGTTGGCGGAGGAACAGCAGGGTGTCCATTGGCAGCAACTTTATCAGAAAAATACAAGGTGCTCGTTCTCGAAAGGGGCAGTCTTCCGACAGCATATCCCAACGTCTTGACTGCAGATGGGTTTGTATATAATCTCCAGCAAGAAGATGATGGAAAGACACCGGTCGAAAGGTTCGTGTCCGAAGATGGTATTGATAATGTACGGGGCAGGGTGCTCGGTGGCACAAGCATGATCAATGCCGGTGTCTACGCCAGAGCTAACACCTCAATCTATAGTGCATCAGGAGTTGATTGGGACATGGATTTGGTTAATCAGACATATGAGTGGGTTGAAGACACTATTGTGTACAAGCCAAATTCTCAATCTTGGCAATCTGTTACAAAAACTGCGTTCTTGGAGGCTGGTGTTCATCCAAACCATGGATTTAGTTTAGATCATGAAGCAGGAACTAGAATTACCGGCTCAACTTTTGACAACAAGGGAACGAGACATGCAGCTGATGAACTTCTTAATAAAGGAAACTCTAACAACTTGCGAGTTGGAGTTCATGCCTCAGTAGAGAAGATCATCTTCTCCAATGCACCAGGTATGTTGCATCATGCACTCCAAAATTAATATTTTGTCATTTTGAAACACTAGCAGGAGCCAAGGTCTGGAAGTACGAATAAAATTTCATTATTTTCCTTGGATTTGTTTGATAATGATTATAAGCTTTTCTGTAATGTAGGTTTGACAGCTACAGGAGTCATATATAGGGATTCTAACGGAACGCCTCACCAAGCATTTGTACGCAGTAAGGGAGAAGTTATCGTGAGTGCAGGGACAATTGGGACCCCTCAACTTCTACTACTTAGCGGTGTTGGGCCAGAGTCTTACCTATCATCTCTAAATATTCCAGTTGTTCTTTCCCATCCTTACGTCGGACAGTTTCTGCATGACAATCCTCGTAATTTCATTAACATTTTGCCCCCAAATCCAATTGAACCCACAATTGTAACTGTTCTAGGCATTTCAAACGATTTCTACCAATGTTCTTTCTCGAGCTTGCCATTTACAACTCCACCCTTCGGTTTTTTCCCTACTACATCTTACCCCCTGCCAAATTCGACTTTTGCTCACTTTGCTAACAAAGTGGCAGGACCTTTATCTTATGGTTCTCTCACGCTGAAATCATCCTCTAATGTGAGAGTCAGTCCAAATGTCAAATTCAATTACTATTCAAATCCGACAGATCTTTCTCATTGTGTTAGCGGCATGAAGCAGATTGGTGAACTCTTGAGCACAGACGCATTAAAACCATATAAAGTTGAAGATTTGCCGGGTATAGAAGGTTTTAATATTTTGGGAATCCCTTTGCCAAAGGACCAAACAGATGATGCAGCCTTCGAAACATTTTGCCGAGAATCAGTAGCCTCATATTGGCACTACCACGGTGGATGCCTTGTCGGGAAGGTGCTTGATGGTGATTTCCGTGTTACAGGGATCAACGCATTACGCGTTGTTGATGGCTCAACATTCCCTTACACACCAGCGAGCCACCCTCAGGGCTTCTATCTGATGTTGGGGAGGTATGTTAAATACACTTACTTGCGGCCACTACAAATTCTCAATAATTATTTGGTTGAATGGCTTGTTTTTTTGGTTCAATAATTATTTGGTTGAATAGCTTGTTTGTAATGAACTCTATGCCATATTTCTCTTTCTCATCCTTTCCAATTTTGTGCCATGGGCAGGTACGTGGGCATTAAAATTCTGCAACAAAGATCAGCTTCAGATCTGAAAATCTTGGATTCCCTCAAGTCAGCAGCATCCTTTGTTTTTTAAACTTGATGAATAAACCCATGAGTTTGGCTACCAAACGGGCTTGTTTCATAATATCGAGACTATCTACAAATAAATAAAATACGAATGCCCTTTCGTAAAACTTGCAGTTGCAAAACGAGTTATTTTAAAGAAAATGGTCCCCTAAAGCTTATAACTATCCCTTGATGTTCTATTTGTTGTTCAACGTATGTTATTGGGATCAAAACATAACAGTACGTTCAAGATTCAACAACAACTTTATCTAAATGAACTTACTTTAGGCTTATGAAGCGTTAGAGTAACAGGCATTGTTCGTTTCTTTTCTAGGCAGGCTTTTTCGTTTCTTTTCTTTTTTGGTAATAACAGGCATTGTTTTTGTAATAAGCGTCATGATATTGCTAGGGAGTGTCTTATGTAAGGTTCTAGACACTTAAATAAAGCGTGATGAATTCCTATTGCTAAGATTTTCTCTCTCAAAAGTGTCTGCAGTTTTTGCCTTAAAGCTGAGATGGTGGGGGATATCCCTGTGTTAACCTACAAGTACCAATACAGTATAGTTGCAATTTGCCTAGAACTCAGAAAGCACATAGCCCTCCACTGCAAAAACAAAAGCAATAAAAAGGCTAATTAAGTACTCTGGTTTTTCAAATAATTAATCTAACAATACAGATCGATGAGACAAACACGATTAAATCACTCATGAAATTCTCCAGTAAGTATTTAAGTTAAGGATATTGGTTATATATTTCTAATCTTGAGCGTTAGATTGCATTTATTAGATTTGTTGGTAGATTTAATATGCAACATACATGCAATCCAACAGTAGAAATTAGAAATAGGTAATCAATTCTTAACATAAAATACTTATTGGAGAATCTTCCTATATATATATATATGTATAATATATTACCATAAGCTTGATATGTATGATGTTAATCAAAGTAGCAACATTAAGACATCTAATTGTGATCAACAAAATCGACAATCCTGGTGGTTCAAGACAACACTAAAACTAAACATCAATTGAGTGGTCAAATGATTTTGAATTCAAGTAATTTTTTACAAAGATGATCTTTGAAGGAATAACTAGAAAATAGACAATTCGGATTATGAAAATACAATGTGAATAGGCCCACAAAAGGTGTTATTATCTGAGAAATCCATGAGATGAACGAAGCTCGTTATATATACAAATGTATATTTATAAAATATATTACCATAAGCTTGCTGTATGATGTGAATCGAAGTGGCAGTATATAAACAAAGGACTCTTTCTGTCTTGTCTTTCCTACAACTCAGAATAAGACAAAAACAGCCCCTCATCGTGAAACACGTTGCATGTGTAAGTAAGCGTCCACTGCTGCTATAAATACATCCAAATAAAACAATGCACATCTTTTGCTCTTATGTTTCATTCTTCTCAACCTCTCCAAGTAATAAATCAAGCAACTGAAAATGATGGGGCCTTCGATCTAGTTAGGTCACTTTCCATGCAACTTCTTCATTGTGATTATTTTCTCTCCTTTTCTTTTTTGTATTATTCGAAAGTGAGTTATATTGTAAATTTTGTGTAGGGTTTTGTGGGAGCCTCCTATCTCAATGCACTAGGGTCACCATTTGGGCGGTCTATTGATTTTGGAGGCGCTATGGAGTAAAATGTTGTGCCCCTTTACGGTGAGCACTAAGCTGCTTTTGTAAAAAATTAAAAAAAATTAAAAAAAAATTAAAGTTTCACGTTTAGGTGAAGTGGATTAGTAAGTAAAAGATGTCCCATATTAAAAAGATAAAGAAAAAGGCTATAAAAAAAACTTTAGGGAAAAACTCAAAAAGCATCTCTCAAACATTCGAAAGGGTTTTATAAGTGTCAAGCCTCCCCAAAACATTTCTCAAATTTTACTCACCACAACGCAGTGAAGCTAGACACATCGGGCGTATGCGCCTAAATTTGAAATTTTTCTCAATGTTGTCGGAGTATTACCCCTATAAAAAAAAAATGTTGCTAAACGAGGTGTGTTTCAACAGAAAAATGCATTAACTTGCAGATCAGTGGTCTCATCTCAGGTTCGAATCTTTTGGCAATGTGTATGTGAGAAAACCCCACTCCCCCAATATCGCTTGTATTAAAAAAAATGTTATTAGTTGTACAACTGTTACATTGTTGAAATAATAAATTCCGCTTTGAATCTTAAAAGCCTTTCCGAAGTCAAGGACGGCAAGATGAAATGTCGTTCTCTAAACACAAAAAACAAAAATCTAATGTACTGTTAGTGTGTGAATGAACACTACAAGAATGAGACTTTTGAATAACACAATCTAGTGGATGTTTTGGATAATGCCAAATTCTTTTGTGCTTTAAACTCAATTCTATGTATATGTGGGTTAGTCCAATCGGCCAAGGGAGTGTGACAATCTCTTGTACTCGAGTTCGATCCCCCTCTCCGTATATTAGAGTAGAGTAATTTAGAATATCGATTCGTCAAGAAAACAAAAACCAAAAACTCAGTTCTGTTATTGAGATCGGAGTAATGCCTAATTTCATTTAACTGGAAGTTTTATTAAAAGCAAATATGGTCTGCAATATAGTTAACTATGTCGTGCAAATAACTTCGTTAAACATTTTTTTCCTTTTAAATAATCAAAACTACACTATCTTGATCCGGTATTGAAAGTGAAGCGGAAATACACTATCTTGATCCGGATAAAACTTGCAATTACCACAAGGTCATCTAGATTTACCATTTGTCGTCCAGTTACTTGTTTTTTCCAAGGAAAATTATGTCAACCATTAAGAAAATAAATAATACCATTACCAAATGGTCAATCTAGCACATTAGCAACAAGGAAGAACATATTCTTGAACAAGAAATATGAAGCTCAAGTGGGGCCCACTTCTGTTAGAGAGGTGATCATCAATGTGGTTTAGGACACTGCTTCCCTCCTTCCCTGGAAGGAGACATTCCTACTTCCAGCAAATTATAGTTTGACACATGCAAAAATAATTCATCAAAAACCCAAAAAGAAAAATATATGCACACATGTCAAACTATGATTGGTAGGAAAGTAAGAGTTCCTACTTCTAAGGACGGAAGCAAGTATTATCCATTTATAAATGTGATACAAATAGATTATTGATTATTTAAATGTAAGATGTCATATCAATCACTTAATTATACAACTTGTAATTTATGTCTGCACTATGACAAAGCCCTAATTAATAATGGTGACAACCAAGATAGTTCGCCTGTTACTTCAATTTTCAGCTAACCAAGAGACTCGTTAAACACCTTTCGAAGTCCAAGGCCACCACCCAAAACAAGAACTAGGAAAAGCAGCTAAAAGTAAGGAACACACTAAACTTACAAAAATAAGAGCCAAATAAATATCAATGATGAAAAATTTTACATGTGCATCAGCGGTTTACTCCAAAATCGGAACAAAAGAAAAACCAGAGAAGATCAATTGACATAACTGCACTCTTGAATGAAATTTTCGATCAGAAAGTCATTCCCCCCATTCTGACCTGGCTAGGCAGAAATAAGCTTTTAGATTTCCCAAAACCAATGAATTAGCCTCCTCCAGACTTGAGCGTGTTACTCAACCTACAACAAGAAGCATTTCATTCCACTAGGTTTTAGAAACCAAGGAAAACAATTAAAATATTTAAAAATAACGAAAAGTAGTATAAAAAAAAACAAAGACCTAACAACTCTTTCATCACTACTAAATGTACAAAGTCTTAAAAGTACCTTTACACACAAAAAGAATAAACAGATATATCTATAAATATATAATCATGTATAAATTAAATGTTCCGGACAGTGCTAGCAAATTGTTCAAATAGCAAAAGTCAAACAGAACACATCATCAAGCAGGACCCAGGAATGTCTTACAATCATAGATTCTAAAAGGGAGTATCGATGAAATTTTTTACATGTATATCAATGATACTCGAGGTTTACTTAAATCGTTATCTACACCGTGTTAACTACTAAACTACCAACTAATGCTTTTGTGGGACATGTGGCTGCTAATAATGGACTGAGTTGAATTGAGCACATAACCCGACAAGAATTTGCATGAATTTTTGCTCTTCATAAAGAAGTCAAGGCAATAAGAAATCAATTAGCTCAGTCTTATCTAGATTTAAAACTGCAGGAACTTTTTTTAACTGTGGATCAAAGTACAGTACATAAATATATAAAACATATATAACTAAAGTGGAAATTAAACAATTGGAAAAAAATATTCTTCTACCAACTGAAAATTTGACATTTTGATGATTAGTAATGCATACCAGTCTAAGCCCTCAAATAGACCTTCCCCTTTTATGGCAGAAGTTTTAAAAATAGCCCACTGACGGTTTTTTATCTTGTGCAACTCTAAAGCCTCAGTTATTGCAGCATCATCAAGCGCACCAGGTAGATCCTACATAAACCATAAGAAATACAAAAAGAATCACAAAGAAATGAAAAATTTATTGAACTATATTTGAATTTACATAGTCTTGCTGTAATAGAAAAAAGCTTCACTCCTAGACCCATAGGATGTACGCACTGCCCCTTAACTATTATTAAAAACGGTTGTTCTTTCTTAAGCAAAGGCTTTCATACAGTGGTCAGCTTGTGCATGCATTTTTTTTTCTGATGATTAAACAGGGAAGTTTTTGCCCAACCACGCAATTATTTCTTTTTTTTTTGTCTGAACCACGCAATTCCAGCAGACAATGGTACTAACCTGCTTATTAGCAAAAATGAGGACAACCGCACCTTTCAACTCTTCCTCCTGCCAAAGGATTCAAAAGCAGTAAGATGACTAATCAAATGCACTTACAAACAACCAACACAATCAATAAGTAAAAGCCAAACAAAATGGGAGGGAAAACAGAGGAACCAATCATAAATTTGACAAATTTGATATTAAAAGAAAAGGAAGAACACGAAAGACACTAGCACTGTTCCTGAACACTTCAAACAAAAAACTAACAAGGGACTGTGGGTATAATTTTTCAATAGCAACTCAACACCCTTAGTCCTACAGAATATTCTATTAGAAAACAAGATGAGAAAAAGGAAGGGATAGGAAGGGAGGGAGGGTGAGAGAGAGAGAAAGATAGAACAATTATGGAATCAACATCCAAGGCAAGGAGTTTGATGTTACCAGAAGTTTCTCACATTACAATCATTGCCAATTCATTATTAAAATGCCCAAAAGCCCCATGTAGGTCTGTTTCTATCCCCTGAATAATACTGTTTATTTTGATTTGCTTTCCTTATCTTTCACATATACAGCCACCGAGAAATTACTATAATTACAAGGATATATAGATGCAATGATAAATACATAGCGCAGAAAAGGCCAATAATTGAAGCACCCAAAATTCACACTAAATTTGCCAAAATTACTTTAAATATGCAAATGTAACCCGAAACCAGTTACCTCTAATATTGCATGAAACTCATCTTTCGCTATTACCAGCCTGTCAGTGTCACTAGAATCAACAACATAGATTATAGCCTGAGTATTTGGAAAATAGCATCTCCAATATGGCCTGTGGCACGAAACCATATAAGAAGCTGGTGAGCTTGTGGTTAACTTAAAAGTCAATAGGAGAAACAATGCAAAAGCAATCCATAGTGGCCCAACAGAACCTATACCTCAAAATTTGACAAATAGAGATTCAGTACCACATGGTAGCATGCTCAAGATGCACATCATACCAAGAAGTTTATTTAAAAATCCCTTTTCGTAATGTGTTACATCCCGCATATGCTCTGCTTATTGGAAAGAAATTCAAAAAAAAAAAAAAAGGGACAATAAACCTTGACCTAACCCGTAAGCTATCATGCATACTGCTAATAAAGGGGATTCCCCTCTTTGATGCCCATTTAATGAAAAGACTACAAAAACTCTTAATAACAGTAAAATTGAAAACAAGATGTTTCCCCACCAAAGTTTACTTACATATAAACCCACCATCCTAGTAATTATCTACCCCTTTCTGAATGTAAAATAACTCCACTTTTAAGCTAAAGAAAATGGCTATTATAATATATGCCCCTCTTATTCATTGTCAAACCCTATTGTACAAAGACAATTTACATATTTTGCATGAAGTTTCTAACAATGTGTGGTTGACATTAAAGAACTCTCAAATTAGATTAACTTGGATTGAGAACAATATGTCAACATGTATTTACTTTTAAACTAACAGAATCCATCAAAATGTGCACATATTTACACAAAGAAATCAGGCATACAGAACAATCAAAGTGATGTACTAGAGAAACCACACAACAAATGGAAGATCAAATGGTAATCATACAACACAGCACCATATTGTATCGTAAAACTTCAATCAATCAATCAATCAATTAAAGTTCACAGGGAGTTCGGAAAATAAATCCTGCTCATGTAAAATACAAGTGCATATTTGCCTTTGAAACTGTAGTAAAGATTACTATTAAAAAAGTGGTATAATCAAGATTCATTTAGTATATCATAACATTACAAGGTGTTATCAATTATAATTCTCTTGGAAATAACATACAGAAAAATAATATTAGTATTATCACAAATTAGACAACCATTTGGTCAAAGAGAGAAATACCTGATACTTGTCTGTCCACCTGTATCAACACAAAAGTACAAAACTCATCAGAACAAGATAAAATCATGACCCATCTCTTTGAATGAAAAAACAGAAATGACATAAGCAAGAGGTCAGTTGAAAACAAAAATTTTAAACTTATCACATAAAATTACATAAAAGCTGTAAGAGTTATTTTCCACCATCCGGCAGGATATATATGCCAAAAAGATGATGGCCGTAGCAGCCAATGTAGCTTAAAAGAAAGTTCTACAACATAAAATAAATTCAAGAAGCTTGAATAACTTCTGAAGGAACAAAAGTAGTGTAGGGAAACTAAACAACAACAAAAAAGGTGCCAGACCTTAAAACTAAATAAATAAACCCCTCCAGATAATAATTCTATTCAGTGGTCAAGCTTTTGCATCCTCATAAACTATCCATCACATTCCATAATAAATAAATAAATATGGACAGTCAACTTTTACATCACAAAAGTCAAAGTGCAGACATTTTCGACTTTGTATCATTCATATCAACTTATAAGTTTGTTTTCTGTAAGGATTTCAACACAGGCAGTAACCAGAAAGAGGGAAAAGGGAGGGGGCAGAGTGGGGCAGTGATCAAAGTTAGACCCACTTCATTTAATAACTAACCAATACATTGTTTTGCACATTTTGATAAAACCATCCTTTTATAGTGGTTGCAAAAGAAAGCATCTAAGCCAATTATGAATAGCTTGAGTTCAACTCATGCTATCCTTCAATCCAGTTCATTAATTCAAGGCTTAACCGTTCAACAATTCAAGCTGAAAGTTGTCCCAGTAACCCAGGTAGACTAGTAGTAGCTTTTATTTCACGTTAGTATGCGAATAAAATCCATTAATCACAGTGATTTTAGAAATTTTACACCACCAGTGCACTAAAAAAACAGTTAGCAAGCAGTATTTATCACCCTTAATTCCCCTTGAACGACCAGTACACCACATCAAAACCATCTGCACAACTATGTACATTAATTTCATGTGATTCCAACAAGTTTAAATCAGCTTATCATCAAATCCTTTGAAATAGGATCAACCTAAGTCCAAACTGAATAAACCTGACCACAAATCCCCACATTGGCTAAAAGTAAAACCAACTCCTTTGGATTTGGATCTGGTTCTTAGGATCCTCTCAACATGCTCACCTCAGCATCTGCTTTTCCTAACCCAACAAGGATACATATTAAAAGGAAAATTAGAAGTGCTGGGGACTTAAACTTGAGGGGCAATACATTTTATGGTTGGATTTGGCACAAATGTTGAAATCAATAATTACTTTAAGTGAATCCAGCCATTAAATGCATTCTCCCTCATATTAAGTCCTCAGGGTGAGCACTACTCCATAGGCAACACCCCGTGAATGGGGTGCTGCCATGGCAGCCTTAGTTCTTTTTCTTCTCAATATTGTTCTCCTATGTAATTTCATGCGAGGATACAATTGTAGGTAATTTTTACAAAATAAGGGTGGGGTGAGCATTTTGGGGTGGCAATATCACTCTCAATTAACAATTAGAAGCATCCGCACAAAACTGAAAAAAGAAAACAAAATGGTTATCAAGCAGGCCTTAAGAACAGTCCTGTGATCCAGATTTAGAAGTGGATCCTATAGAATTTGAAGGATTTCTGGACACTATGCTTCAAATCTGGCCTGGTAATGATTTCCTTATCCACTAAGTACCCAAATTTTACATCATAATTATAAAGATAAGACCTACTAAGATATTAGATAATTATTCAAGTCTTTAACCTCATACAGAGTGTTCCCCCTTAAAATTCACACTGACTCTTTAAAATCAATCAAATAAAAGTGCATCCAATTTCTGACTTCAGGTATATTCTTAATATAACTCACTGTTCTCATACAATATAATAGCAAAGTAGCATATGTCATGTTGTGCCAATTGAAGATACGGAATAGGGAATATAGCCATACCGAGATCCCAGACTTGGAATTTGATGTTGTTATATTGCACTGTCTCAACATTAAATCCAATGGCTGCATCCAAGTAAAAGAATTGATTCAACAAAATATTCCAATTTTTAAACTGATGAACATAGTAAGCTGCACAAACTCTCTAGGCTACCATTTACTTGGTAGAGTGACTTCGTAAATCAACAAGAACTGTCAAATATTCAAATTTTCATCATTCTCAAAACTTGAGAGCAACCAAATAATTAAAAATCCATAAATTATCAAAATCAAAGAAACGAAAAGGAATACCAACTTGGGATCGTGGAGACAACCTCCCCCATCTGGAGCCGATCTGCAGAAAATCCAACAAGTAACCCAAAATTAACACAAACCAACTCCAAAAAATAAAAAATTATGAATATGGTAAGCGCGGAATGATCGAAATCGTACAGAGAATAGTAGTTTTCCCAGCATTGTCCAATCCAAGGACAAGGATCCGAGCTTCCTTGTTCCCAAATAGGGAAGAGAACATTTTAGTAAACAAAATGCCCATGTCTGTGTTGCGATTTGAATTCCCTCAGCGCATGAATGGGAACAGAGATCAACTGGGTTTGAGCCTTTGAGGGTCTGAGATCGGATCTCGAACGCAGAACCCTGTACCTCCCTGCAAAACCAGCAGAGTGTGAAAAGTGTGATCCTGTAGAGAGCGAGAGCGAGAGAGAGAGAGAGAGAGAGAGAGAGAGTTGAGATTTGCATGCCTGTGGAAAAAGGAGAGAGGGCCTGCTTAAGAGAATTGTTGAGAATTTGAGAAACTAGTAAAAAGTGTGGTGGAGTGGAGATAAGAAAAAAATTCTCGCTTTTTAATTTTCTCTGAGAAACGAATCGAAATTGGGAAACATGAGAATTGGAAGAAACGCAGTCTGGACTTTGGAGAAATAATTTTGTCCGGTACTTGAAGCGCTGTACATGCTCCTTCATTTCCAGTGGGACCGAAAGGCTTACGTGGCAAAATTCTACTGTTTGATGATCATGGAATAAGAACTCTTTGGTTTTCAAGTCAAAAAATAAAGTTCTAACGGCCCCTGTAGGTTTGGTAGCTTTATCGAAAGAGATATTTAGTCATATATCTATTCTTAATACTAAAATTATAAATAAACCCTACACCTTTTAATTTCTATAAACACACCTAAAAAAAACCCAAAAACTAATAGCTAGACCTATTGAATTTAATTTTGATTATTAAATTACTTTAATGCCATATTGAGTGTTTTGGGCTTTTTTATGAGGTTTTGGGGTTGGGTTTGTTTTAAGAAATTAATTGCAGTTTTGTAATTTAAAAGAAATTAAAAGTTTTTTTGTTATATTATAAATGGGCTTTGGGTGTGTTTCTAAAGTCCATTTCATATAGGGTTTTTTTTTTTTTTATAATTTGGGCTTTTATATTGGGTATAATAGTGAATCTCCCTTATCGAAATGGGTTACGGGGGTTTCAATTTCATCAAAGCACCCCAATGTTTTAAGATGGTGTTGTTAAACGAATTTTAAAATTAATTAAGTACACTCTACTTCCAAACTATTTATTAAATTACTAATTTACTTTAATATAAAATGGCCAAAAAAGATATATTGAATTGTGAAACAAATGTAATTTTAATAAGTGCACCCTACTCACCTTATTCAAATGTCAGTGAAAAATCCTACTTTCAAAAACCTTAGTATTAACTCCAACAATTTGTTTAATCGTTATTTAATAATTCATTAATGTAAACAAGTCTCATGGTACTTTCGTGAATCATAATTTATTTTTAGGTGGAATAGATACCAGTGCAACTACAATGACGTGAGTGATGGCAGAGTAAAAGATCGTCCCCCGTCCCACATCATTGTAGTTGCACTGGAAACATAAATTATTTTTTAGGTGGAATAGATACCGATTGATTAAAAAAGCCCAAGAAGAAGTTAGAAGATGCATTGGAAACAAAGGAAAAATCAGTGAACGAGATACAGATGAGCTTCAATACCTCAAGATGATAATCAGAGAGACCCTGAGATTGCATCCTCGAGCTCCAATGATTATTCCAAGAGAAACCATGTCTCATTTCAAAATCCAAGGTTGTGATATTGACCCCAAAACACTTGTCTTTGTCAATTACTGGGCAATTGCACGAGACCCTGGGTCTTGGAAAGACCCACAAGAATTTATCCCATAAAGGTTTGATGGCAGCTTCATTTATTATAAAGGGCAGCATTTTGAGTTTTTACCATTTGGAGCTGGTCGAAGAATTTGTCCTGGGATGTACATGGGAATAGCAACACTATAGCTTGGACTTGGAAATCTTCTCTACTGGTATGATTGGAAATTGCCTAATGGGATGAAGAAGGAAGATATCAATGTGGAAGAAAATAAGGTGTAACATGGATATTTTTGGTAGTTAAATAAGGTGTGTTGAACCCATAAACTTGGGATAGACATAATATCACAATCATACGAGTAGAACGAAGGGATTGAATGGTTCACCCATAAACTTAGGCTACATCCACTGGTTGTTGCATTTGTATATATGTGTAGAGAGTTTTATTACATTGAGATAGGCTTGAGAGCCTTAGTAAATAAGAAGGATGGAGCTTGGGATATGAGGAGAGAGTTGCTGGTTCTCAGCCGAGCAATCTGGAGAGAGATCCCCTAGAGTGATCAACCCCATTGCCTCTTATAGGCCTTTCCCAACCGACTTTGGCAGTGGGCCTTGGCTTAATGAGACCCTTGGGCTCGTAATGGTGAGGCCTAGACAAAATATCAACCTTGGTCATAACCATGCGTCAACAAGGTGTATTTAGTTAAGAGATATTTAGTCATATATCCATTCTTAGTACTAAAACTATAAATAAACCATACACCATTTAATTTCTATAAACGCACCCAAAAAAAAACCCCAAAAATGATAGTTGGCCCTATTGAATTAAATTTTGATTATTATATTACTTTGATGCCCTATTGAGTGTTTTGTGCCTTTTTTATGAGGTTTTGGGGTTGAGTTTGTTTTAAGAAATCAATGGCAGTTTTGTAATTTAAAAAAAGTTAAAAGTCTTTTTGTTATGTTGTAAATAGACTTTGGATGTGTTTCTAAAGTCCATTTCATATAGAGTTTTTTTTTTTAATTTGGGCTCCTATATTGGGTATAATAGTGAATCTCCCTTCAGTTAATTTTACATTTTGATTTAAATATTAGGGTGTACTTAGATCATAATGTGTACTCGGTTAATTTCAGGTTCGTTTAACAACACCCTTTAAGATTTGTTCAATTTACACATTTTGTCAATTTGACCGTCTGGTGTTTTGTTAAATTGATGACGTGGCAAGTGAGGGACCCTCCTTTGTGCTGATGTGTCAATAAAAATTCCTTAATTTGGTTAATGGGTTAGTGTTCTTGGAGGAGTTTGGGTGGAATTGTGAAAGCTTGGAGGGGTTTGGGATGGACCATGTTTGTATCTGTGAATTTGCGCAAATCGTATGGGCAGCCTTCTCACCATCACCACCATCCACCGCATCCTAGCTCTTACGGGTGGAACAGGGGACGATCTAATAGCCATGGCAGTGGAGGAGGAATGGTGATCCTTTAGAGGCCTCATAGTGCGAACAAGGCTAGGTTGAAGCTATATGATCCATCCCTATTGAATCAGCCTTCGTTAAGCAAATAAGGGCTTCATGTAGTGTTTTTATTAACACAAAGGTGGGTTCCTCACTTGCCACATCATCAACTTAACATAACATTAGACAATAAAATTGTCAGGATGTGTAAATTGAACAAATCTTAAGATGTTAGGGTATAAATTGATGAAATTGAAATCTCGTAGTCTATTTCGATAATGCCCCCAAACCTATAAGGGGTATAATGTGGTTAGCCTAAAAAAAAATAGAATAATTGCAAGATACCAAATTCCATACCAAATTTGAGTCTCAAATAAGATATCATATACCAAATAATCAGTTTTCAATTAATTAAGTTCCAGCATGAATTTATTGATGATTAATTTCATTCCAAATGAAAAATAAAAAAGATATATTGAGTCAACACCTTAATTAATCCAAAAGTTGAAGAACTCATTATCCCACCACAATCTGAGCATGTTTGGTATTCTATTTGAATTCAACTTTTTAAACTTAAAATAGAATTTGAGTCAAAAACTCAAAGAAATTTGTTTGGTAATAGAGGTGTCAAACAAGCCGTGCCAGAATAGTCCATTTATGAAAATCATCAAGCTTGGCCTGACCCCATGACCTTAGTCCATATGGGACCGGCCTGGGCTCGTGTCGGGCCACTAAATGGGCCGATATGGGCCCATACCAAATTTGACTTATGTATTGCTATTTTTTGTAATTTTTTTAATATCATTTCAATCTTTTTTAAAATTATTTATATACTAACAAGATTTATTATTTGTTGGAAAAAGAAGCCAATAACTTTATTTGAAGTACATTTTAAATAGAAAATAGCTAGATTATTGTTTAGGTTTAAAAAATTGAAACTTCATAAACAAAATCATTATTTTATTAGAGAAAAGAAATAGACTTGAATTTAAGATATAAATATAATAATATTAAGTATTATTTTTCTCTAAAACAAATATAATTTAATAAATGGGCTTTAAATAGGCTGGCATGTCCCATTCGGTCGAATTACCTTGTCCCAGTCCTTCCAAAGATACGACCCACGCAGTGTCGGGCCTTACTTAATCGTATCGTGCTCGGGTTGGCCCGGTCTATTTAGTAGGCCTATATTTGAAAACCTAAGAGACATTTTGTGGGGCCTTCTAGGACATGGTTATTAGGTGATTCCCTCTTCAAACTCCCGTCAGGCTTGGCCTTCTTTTTGTTTCAATTTTTTTTATACAAGCGATATTAGGAAAGGAATAATCGACCCTAGGACTTTGAGTATATGGTAAATATTATTGGATCTCGAGCCTCTACATTTAGGCACTGTGCATTTACCTGCATTTCGCTCGATTTGAACCATTATAATAATCTAACGATTCAAGATATGACACATCAATTTTTAAATTTTGACACCCATCTATATAATTAATTCCAACTAAACATCGTTAGGTCTAAATAAATAAAAATAAAAAACTATAAACCTATTCACAGCCACCCATGACATGCCCCGCCCCACCCTACCCCACTCACGGCAACCTCTTTCCCTCCTCATAGGCACAGCCAACCTTCTCTCCTATTTTCCCTCTCTCTCTCTCTCTCCCTCCCCTAATTTCCCTCCCCGTCTCTCTCTCCCTCGTAGGTAGGATGACGCTAGGTTTTTTAATTTTTTTCTTTATTTTTTTGTTTTATTTTTTTAATAATTATTTTGTGTTAATTAAATAGATAGGTGTCAAAAGTTAAAAATTGATGTGTTATATCTTGAGTTATTAAATTATTAGAATGGTTCATATCTTGCGAAATGTGGGTAAATGCATAGTTGCTAATGTAGAGGCTCGGGATCCAATATTGTAAACCACTTGAGCTACAAACCCCTTATAGAGCCGACCTTGTTTAAATTGGTAGATAGGTGATCAGCAGTAGAAAAATATGGTCATCTTCACATTACTTTTTGTCAAACCTTATTTCAAAGTCACCCTCACTAAGAAAAGTTCATGGCAACGTCCATGCATGAGCCCATAGCTTCCCTATCTTTCAATGCTCGCACCAAAACCAACTACATCTTCATTGTCATAGATGTGCTACAAAGTATGGCTAAGCTGGGTTTGGGTTGGTTCAATTTCGAGCCCAAACTGACCACCGAACCAAAAGCTTTGGTGCAGTACTTTCCGGCATTGGCACCAAACCGCCGCACCAAAAACGGA